CTCGAGGGTTATTATGGGGTTGCTGACCTGTAAGAAAAGCACGGGGAGGGGGGGGGAGAAATGAAAGGGCAGGAGCGGTGACCTGCCTGACAGGGAGGGGAGGAAGCTGATGAGGCTAAGTGGGGACAACCGAGGACAGGGTCGTAGAAGGCGACCGACCCCTGGCAAGGCCCCGGAAGCCCGAGAGAGAGAGAGAGAGAGAGAGAGAGAGAGAGAGCCAGCCTTCGAATGACGTCACCGTCATCCGCAACGCCATGGAAACGAGTCTCCGCGACTTCAAATCTCAGCCTCTCTCTCTCTCTCAGCCGGGGGAGAGTGTTTATCCAGCCCGACTCTTCATACCTCACCGCCCCCCCGCGCTCAGCGGCTCCGAGAGACGGCTACGGACCCTCTTTGCCTTCGTCCAACTCCCTCCGTTCCTGCGCAAAAAAAAAAAAAAAATTCACCCCGGAACGCGAACGGATGGGGCTTCGCCAACCGTTTGAAAATGGCGCGCGGACCAAGTCGGCTACTTCCGCCCACCGTCGCCTCGGCAACCAGTTCAAGCGCGGGCGTTCCGCACCAACCGGCGAGCCAAGCCCGTCGCTCTTCCACAGCGTCCCCTGGCGGTGGGTACTGAAAGCAAAAGAGACGTCCGCCGAGCTTCTTTGAGCAGCCTCCCGCTGGCCGCTCCGAGGCGTCGTCAAGAGCGAGTCCGATCGAGGGAGCGTTTCTCGGCTCCCGCTTTCCTGAGGAAGCCGCGAGCGAGCTTCCCGGCCCGGGAAGGCTTTTTTTGTGAGAGGCTGTGCGTTTACTCTCGGTAGCAAAAAAGCAATTTCTCCCCAGACGCCAGTGACCACCATATTTGGTACCCTAAACTGCAACTTGCATAGCTTACTTGTAAAGCCAGCACTGACGATTTCACACATTTTTTTAAAACAGGGAAAATATTGAAAGGGATAAAAAAATAGAATTTCAGCTAGCAAAAGAAGCTGTTCGACAAGCCTGCTTTTATACATCGTGGTTAAAATAACACCAGCTTCCTCTGGGGGCCTGCAAATAGGAAGATTATCCCCTTTTAAAAATTGCCTTTTAGCCTACCCCATGCAATGGAACCTAAGATTTGCATGAAAATTCAATTCTTACTCAAGTTAAGGCAAAGCGTGCTATCAAAATATAATTTTTATCAGCTGTGATGATATAGTATAGCTTTGTACTACTTACTGAGTTTCCTGACAGTTGACCACCTTGAGTGCAATGATTAGTAGGCAGGATAAATACCAAATCTGCAATTATCTCATTAAAAATCCAATTGAGTTTCAGAGAAGCTTTCTCCAGTAGCCAGCCATTGCATCTGGGTGTTTTCTTCATAAAAATGGTAAAGCCAGGACATTCTATGCTATGACCTTTATTGTACTACTTACTGAGTTTCCTGACAGTTGACCACCTTGAGTGCAATGATTAGTAGGCAGGATAAATACCAAATCTGCAATTATCTCATTAAAAATCCAATTGAGTTTCAGAGAAGCTTTCTCCAGTAGCCAGCCATTGCATCTGGGTGTTTTCTTCATAAAAATGGTAAAGCCAGGACATTCTATGCTATGACCCTTACAACTAATAAGAAGAGCCCTGCTGGATCAGGCCAAGGGCCCATCTAGTCCAGCTTCCTATGTCTTACAGTGGCCCCACCAGATGCCTCTGGGAGCACACGAGACAACTAGATACCTGTCTCTTGATACTCCTTCCCTGCATCTGGCATTTTGAGGTACCTTCTAAGCCTGGGGATTATACACCCCAAACATGGCTTGTAACCTACGATGGACTTTTCCTCCAGAAATCTGTCCAATCATCTTTTAAAGGCATCTAGGCCAGATGCCATCACCACATCCCGTGGCAAGGAGTTCCACAGACTAACAACATGCTAGGTAAAGGGATGTTTTCTTTGGTCTCTTCTCACTCTCCCAACACTCAATTTGAGTGCATGTCCTCTGGTTCTGGTAATGCACAAGAGAGAAAAGAGCTTTCCTCTATCCACTTTATCCATCCCCTTTATACGTCTCATGTCTCCCCTGAGGTGCCTTTTCTCTAAAAAGCACCAAGCTCTGTAATCTTCCCTCAAGGGAAGTGCCCCAGCCCAGTCATCATTTTAGTTGCTTTCTTCTGCACTTTTTCCAGTTCCACTATGTCGTTTTTGAGGTGCAGCGACCAGAACTGCGCACAATACTCCAGGTGTGGCCTTGCATTTTGTACAATGGCATTAAATGTTGGTTGTTTTATTTCCAGTCCCCAGCACAGAATTGGCCTTCTTCATTGCAGCTGCACACTCAGTTGACACTTTCTTTGAGCTGTCCACCAGCACACCAAGATCTCTTTCCTGATGCATCATGGACAGCTCAGAACCCATTAGCTGATAACTAAAGTTTTGATTTTATTTTTTTTGCCCCAACGTGCATTACTTTACCTTTTCTTATATTGAAACACATTTGCCATTTTGCCACCCATTCTCACCACCCAGAAAAGTTTCGTGTCATCTGCAAACTTGGCCACCTCACTGCTTATCCCTGTCTTCAGGTCATTTATTAAAAGGCTGAAAAGCACCGGTCCCAAGACGGATCCCTGGGGCACACCGCTCTTCACCTCTCTCCATTGTGAAAATTGCCCATTGACACCTACTCTCTGTTTCCTGGTTCTCAAACAATTCTCAATCCATAAGAGGATCTGCTTTTATCCCCTGACTGGTGTTTTCTCAGAAGCCTTTGGTGAGGGACTGTGTCAAATGCCTTCTGAAAATCCAGATAGACAATATCCGCGGGTTTGCCCACATCCACAGGCCTGTTGACCTTTTCAAAGAATTCTAAAAAGTTTATGAGGCCGCTCTTACCCTTACAGAAGCCATGCTGATTTTCCTTCAGTAAGGCTTGTTCTTCTATGTGTGTTAGGATTTTATTTTGGATGAGGCTTTCCAGTGTTTTCTCTGGAACAGACATTAGGCTAACTGGCCTGTAGTTTCCTGGGTTCCCCCTCCTTCTCTTTTTAAAGATTGGCGTAACATGGGCTATCCTTCAGTCCTCTGACACTGTGGCAGAGGATTTGACAACTGAAATTTTCAGTGTTTCCAAGGAAAGCCGTATTAATAAATCTAAGAGCTGTAAAAGAAAGCACTTCAGTACAGTTTCTCGATGTCTTTTCTGAGAACTGACAGGCGATTTTTCCTTTGTGTTACGCTCAGGCACAGCTAATTCAGGAAACACACAATTTATTTGTGATTTTACTTCAGTTCAGAAGAATTACATCCAAATAGTCATGTAATTATAAAGACAATAAAGTTGGATGTCTCACCTACATATATATTAACACAGTTTGATGCCACCCTCTGGCTGTTTACAGTCATTTCAACACTGACATAATTTCTCAAAGCTACAGATAGTTAGAAACCCAGCTGAGTTAATGTGTGATATATGAGAAATATAGAGAACTGATATATAAATATGGAAAATAAAATTAGCTGAACTGAATTCCATGTGAAAACGTGTACAGTACTTCGAACTGTTTTTATCAAGCAGTTAAGCAACAATCCCTCTTATTTTATTGGTTGATGGGGTGAGGACAGTTAATACTCCTTTTATATTTCTGCCTCACAAAACAGAAGATCTCCAGTGTCAAAGCTTATTCGCAGAAAATTTCTTAGTTTATCTCTTTGGCAGCTATTAATGCGATTGTGCAATACTGGAGAAATAGTCTAAAATATCTTGGATTGTGAATTCCATAGTAATTCCAGATCCAGGATAACAACGTGCTATTAAGCCTTCGAAGTGCTTGTACTGTCGTATGAACTCATCTTGCATAGAATGCCACACCACCTATCGAAACAGAAAGAAGCAGAGTTTTAATAATTACAATACTATCCATAGTTTCAAATCAAAATCTTCGGGCCTCTTGCACTAACTGACTTCAGCATTGGGGCTAGCTCTGTACTGCAGATGTCAAGGGAATGTGTACTGTATGTGGAGCTATCTCAGCTATTTAACTCCATGAAGCAGTATCTGAGCCCCAATACCAGTTTTCACTTTAGTGGTAGATCTTATAAGTACAGTGGTGCCTCGCTTAGCGATCACTCCGTTGAGCGATGAATTCGCATAGCGAGGGGGTCCGGGCCATCGCTGGAGCATTCGCTCCGCGATGGCCCCTATGGCGTTTTTTCGCTGTGCGATGATCGCTAAGCGGTTCGCTTAGTGATTTTCGCACAACGAAGCGGGGGAGAACAGCTGATTGGCGGTTCCAAAATGGCCACCGCAACTTTTCCCGCTGTGCCCTCGCTTACCGAGGGCACGAAAATGGCCGCCCCTATGGAGAAGCTTCGCTCAACGGTAAGTTTAGGGCTTATTGGAACGCATTAAACCAAGTTTAATGTGTTTCAATGGGTCTTTTCGTTCCGTTGAGCGATGTTTCCCACAGTGGTGCCTTCGCTATGTGAAAACTTTGTTAAACGGAAAGTAAAAAGCCATCGTTTAATGCGTTCCAAATCGGCTGAAAACTCACCGTTTAGCGAAGTCTTCCCATAGCCGGAAGCCATTTTTGCGCCCCCGGTAAGCGAGGGGAGGGCGCGAAAACGCTGCGCGTGGCCATTTCGGCTGTTCCGGTGGCCATTTTGGACCCGCCGAACAGCTGATCCGCGGGTCGCAAAGCGAAGGTCGGTAAGCGAAACGCTTACCGACCTTCGCTATGCGAATTTCGCCCATTGGGGCCATCGGTAAGCGATCGCATTAGCGATCGCGGAAACCGCATCGCTATGCAATTTCGTCATTATACGGTGCGCTCGTTAAGCGAGGCACCACTGTACTTTACTTCAAGCTGACAGAAGGAGGTTCACAAAATTAAACTATGCTCAATATTTAAAAAAAAATACCTATTTATTTAAAATGTTTTCCTCACCTTCCTCCTTAAAAAGGACTCAAGGGCACTGACATCATTAAAGTACAATATTTAAAGCTAAAAACAATACAGTAGGACCCTCATATTCATGGTTCGAAGCCCTCCTGCGGATGCTGAAAATGCACATCATAGCAAAAACTATTATACAATGCTGCCCGCATGACAATAATCCATCCCATTGAAATCGCTGTTTAGCGAAATCGTCGTCATGCGAAATCCGTTTCCCCATTGGAATGCATTGAAACCCAGTTTAATGCATTTTAATGGGGAAAATACCTCATCGTCCAGCGAAGATTGCCCATTGGGGAGCCATTTTGCGAGCGCCAATCAGCTGTAAAGATGGCTGCCCTGCGAAGCATGGGTCCAGAAAACACAGGGCAGCCATTTTGCGAAGCCAATGATCAGCTGTAAAAATCGTCGTCTTGCAAACAAACGGTTCACGAAGCACAGACCTATTCAACATCCAGAGAAAATCCCCCTCTGGAATGACTGTTTTGCGAATCGCTATAGCGATCGCAAAAAGTCATCGTTATGCGGATTCGTTGTTTAGTGGGGTCATCGACTTGCAAGGTACCACTAGTTAACCTTATACATAGCATGGTCTCTGGCTCCTTCTAGTGGCCAGTTCTGGTAACCTCATCATTAGAAATATAAATTTGGGGTTTTTTTTTCTTTTAATATTTTAAGACCATGGACAAGTGAATCAGCAGATACCAATCCTGTGGCTCCCTGCTGTATACAAATACTAAAAAAGATCAAGCAAATACCATACTAAAAAACAGCAAACAAAAGGAACACCAAAAACACATTCGAAGCAGCCATGTACGTCCATCCATTTAAAACCTTCACTTCACTGAGGGGAAGCTTGCCTTCAGAGAAAGCTCTTTGCCTGCTTGCAGAAGGACAGCATGGATGAGGCCAGCCTGGCCTCCTGTGGCAGGGAGTTCCAAAGTCTGGGAGCAGCAACAAAGAAGGTCCTTTCCTGTGTCTCTACCAAATGCACCTGTGAAGGTGATAGGACTGAGAAAGCCCTCTCCTGATGATTTTAACACCCAAGCACACTCATAAAGGGAGATGAGGTCCTTGAGACAGCTTGGATTCAAGACACTTAGAACTTTATAGGTTAGAACCAGCACTCTGAATTGTGCCCAGAAATGGATCGGCAGCCAGTGGAGCTGCTGTAAAGCGGGTAGGTATGTGATTCCTCTGACCAACCCTAGTTAGAAATCTGGCTGCCATGTTTTGGACCAGCTGAAGTTTCCAGACACTTTTCAGAGACAGCCCCATGTAGAGTGCATTACAGTCATCCAGCTGGGATGTAACTAAGGCATGTGTCACCGTGGCCAGATCATATCCCTCCAGGAACGGGTACAGCCAGTGCATTAGTTTGTATTCTGCAAAAACACTCCTGGCCACTGCTGAAACCTGGGCATCCAGGCTTAGAGATGAATCAAGAATTCCCAAGCGATGCACTTGTTTTCAGAGAGAGTGTAACCCCATCCACCACAGGCTGTAATCCTATTCCTTGATCTGCTCTTCGACTAACCAGGAGCACCTCTATCTTGTCTGGATTAAGTCAGTTTATTCACCCTCATCCAGTCCATTACTGATACCAGACATGGATCTAGAGCTGAAACTGTCAGATTTAGACGACAAGGACAGATGGAGCTGGGTGTCATCCGCAAACTGGTAACACCAAACCCCCAAACTCCAGATAACTTCTCCCAGCAGTTTCATGTAGATGTTAAACAACATAGGAGACAAAACAGAACCCTGAGGGGCCAAGCAGGCTAGTGGCCAGGGTGTCAGAAAAGAGTCCCTGAACACCATCTTCTCAGTTTTTCCTCCAGGAAGGACTGGAGCCACCATAAAACAGTTGCCTCCAAATGAGTAAGAGGCTTCTCCTTGGGTTCTTTTTTTCTATGAGGGTTTTTTTGTACTGTACTTATTCAACCATGGCAGATAATAAGATTCCAATCCAAACACTGTTTTTATCATCTCAGTAAGAACTGAACCTAAGAAGCATGTGACTGTAGACAGAGATTACACACAAATAAGCCAGCTATTGTCTTTTCTCTGTGACTGCTACAGGGTCAGAAGGTATGCCACAGTCTGCCTGAGTTTTACACATGCTCCTGAAGTGCACCTCAAGTGTTTGAGTGATGTGGAAGCAGACTGAGATTCCTCATAGCTATTCCTATTACCAAGTCAGCCATTTCCTGCTGTGTTCATGTGATGTTCCACTCTAATCAAGAGACAGGCAAAATCAGTATAAAAGCGTCTGTACTATATTAAATGAACATGTGACTATTCCATAAAAATCAAACTCTGCCACTTATTAGATTACCTGAAGCAGGTTTTCTTCTTCACACAGGTGTTTGTCCACCTTCTTATAAAGGTTATCCAGTCCCTTTTTCACTTCCTTGCCAGGATACTCCTTTATAACTTTTCTTAGCTCTTGTTTGTTAAAGGCCAACTGATAGCTTACTTCTTCTTCTCTCACACCTTGTGCCACACGAGCTTCAACACCCTCAAAAAAGTGCTAAAATGAAATATTGTTATTTATTGTTTAAACTCAAACAAAAGGATGTTCAGTCACATACATCATCAAGTTTTGAACCTATATATTAAAATGTGACAGATCTTTTTCTTCTTCTATTGACATCATATATGATACAGACCTTGAACATATATATTAAAATGTGACAGATCTTTTTCTTCTTCTATTGACTTCATATATACTATGTTTCTCTTACTTGCTATCAGTAAAGAGGTCATGAACAGCCAGGAGGAGGGGCAAGCAATAAATAACAATGCCACAAAGCTACATAATTGTCCCAGTGAGAAATCCCATATTAACATAGAATGTACCCAAAAGTTATTTTTTCTGGTACACACTTGTGTGTGGGCACTACAAGTCCTTCCATGTTTTACTTTTAGTAACATAATTGTAATGTTAACTAACAGTATCATATTACACAAGAATATTACATAGTCAGATCAAATTGGCAAGTTTGCAGTTGAACCACAGAAATTGCCTGTATTACTCTTAATAGTGATATACCAAGATGTTTAACCTTATAGGACTTTGCTTGTTCAGAACAAGATGAGGTGCTGAACTAACAATCTGTGTTTTAGCGTGCCACTCCTGTTTCTTTCTTCTCTTTTCCAAATCTTATTATCACTCTACTGACAACAGAACAACACTAAAACCTTTGCAAAACTTTAAGGCAGCAGTCTTTGTGTAATTCACTTTTTGTGAATAGATTTATTATATACTGTTCTAAATTGTCCTATCATCATATGCAGAGTGTTTTGCAGGTCAAACCCATGGGCAAGCACTGAACCTCTAGATAATAACAGGGATGTATAGGTCTTCTGTGCTAGTATTTAACTAGTATTGAATAGATACATTTGCAAGTATTGAACAAAAATTATAAGAAGTCACCCTGTGGTAAGAATTGGTCTCTGTTTGGGCGGGCCTGATTCCTATTACAAAATTAAACTCCTCAAATTCCACTGCTGCATGGTGATGTCACTACATCTTTTCAAGGATGTGTTTTAAAAAAGACCATTCACATGAACAGTATTATTTGGGAGTGGAGGCTGAACCATTTCAGTATATAAAAGGATAGAGGAAGATGTGGTCCTTCAGATGTTGCTGGACTGCAACTCTAATCAGCTGTAACTTGTGTAATGATGAGGGACCATGAAAGGTGAAGTCCAACCCGTCCAGAGAGTCACAGCTTCCCTACCCCTTGCATAAGCTCTTAGCTAATGTTGCTACAGCTGACATTCTCTATGTTCCACATCTCACCTCAAAAAACTGAAACACACAACTATGTAGTAGTTAGAAAAGATCTTGTCAGTGCCATGGGATAGCGTAAACTGTACAAGTCCAGCTGATAATGTGTTAAAGGTTTCCTAATTTTCAACAAAGAGTTGTTGAAACTCAAGCTTGAAAGAAGTAAGCAATATTCTTTAGATCACAATTAACCCAAAGAGTTGTGATTTAATTCAAATCTTTCTTCCAGTTCAATATTGGTTGTATTAGAATTGCTCATCACCTAAACATACACATAATACTTTGACACACACTATTCATGATATGGAAGGTAGGAATAAATGGTTCATTCATCTGCCTTATAAGAGAGAGTCTACAGAAATCTATTATCCATTTCTAATTATGTTATAAAACAAGTTTCTTACATTTAATTTCTCAAGAGGCTGTCCCAAGGAGTAGATGACATATGACTGCAAATGATCTGTGTATTTTTGTTTGGCTTCTTTTTTCTCGGCCTCCAGACAAGAGATTTTCAATCGTGAGAGTGTTGCAAAGATATGATGAAAGTTCTCCATCATGACCACATCCCGTGGTGTCTTTTGACTTTCATTTGCTACCTTTTCCACTTAAAAAATAAAAACATATAAACATACAATCACAGCAAGAGTCAACATGATGACGAACCTACCACACACCTCTGAACACATGATCAGTTCTTGAAAAATGTATTTACTTTTAAGGTCAAGAGATAATATCCATGCAATTGTTAGAATCTGGGTTGAAAATGAAATACTGAAATCTAAGGAAATTTTTGAAGGGCAACTAATATTTCATGATATGAACTAAGTTCCATAGAATTCAATGAAAAAATTAGATTTTTTTTTTGTTTCGTTGTTAAGTCGTGTCCGACTCTTATTGACCCTATGGACCAGAGCACACCAGGCCCTCCTGTCTTCCACTGCTTCCCGGAGTTTGGTCAAATTCATGTTGGTAGCTTTGATGACTCTGTCCAACCATCTTGTTCTCTGTCATCCCGTTAATTCCTTTATTTTTGATAAAGTTGGTTGGACTGATTTTTTTTCTTTTGCTTGAAAAAGCAAAAGAAATTTACTTTCATAAATTGACCACTGCCTGACACTTTTAGAAACAGACATGTTATTGACCCATCACATAGTGAGCATACACAATGCAGTACAGTACTCATTTGTTTATTAATAATGTCAAAATACAAACACATTACTGACAAATATATGGACAAAATGTATCTATAATTCTGTATGTGTCTGTTCAGAAGTATTTCCCACTAAATTCACTTGGGCTAAGTTCTTAGGAACATGGGTATAGGGCTGAAGCCCATCTCTCTTGAACAAAATGAGGTCATTTATAAGATACTGTGACTTCTGGCTTTCTAATCATGGGCTGAAATTGTATTGAGGAGTTCTGTTTTGTAACTTAATGTTTTATAAGTGGTAGCTCTAATCATGCCAAGTTGGAAGTGCTATTCCACAGGTGCACTGTCCAATCAAATTGTGCAATTCTTGTTGCTTGGGTGTAATTCCTGGCAAACTTACACAGGTGTAACTCTACGTTATTCAAAGACAGAATTCCAGCCATAAAATGGGACTTACCATTAATGAAAACTCCCCTAATAAGTTTCAGGTAGGCTTTATCTAGATCTCCTCTGCGTTCAGCATTTTTGAAAATAGATTCAGCAAGTGCTGCAAACTCTTCAAACTCAACAACAAAGGGCAGAATTCCAACCTTGCTTTTCTTGGATATCTTTACATCTTCCATCTGTTTTATCTGGTTGCTCTGAAATGAAGAACAGCTGCCATAAATTTCTGTCTTAAACTTCAGAAGGGAAGGATATTCACTATGAATTGGGATGGCTCTGATCTACAAGCCAATAAGAACACAGCCATTTTGTTTTGGCTGCAGAGGAATATAAGCAATGGTTAGCAAAATGTTGGTAGGCAGTGCTGGACCAAACAAGGTGAATCTGGAAGCTGAGTCATGGCAACTGGACTTATTAGGTTGAAACGTTTCGCTACTCATCCAAGTAGCTTCTTCAGTCTGAGGAGAGTTGGTAGGAGACCCCTCCACGTTGGTTTCACTCCCCCCTGGTCTGAATAGGATTGTTAGATGGACAAAGGACAAAGGTGTGTGTGTGTGAGCGAAAATACCACTTCTGCAGTCCTTCTCCACCCATTGTCATGGGACGTTAACAGTTGTTAACAGTGGCCTTTCTGGTGTGTGGTCCTGATCAGAAAGGGCAGCATGATAAATGGGAGACAGACTGTATGTATGTAAGGCCTCCATCCTTGTTGAGTGAGGGATTTTCTAAAACTGCCAAATACCCACTAAACAGGAGAATGGCCCAGCACAGGAGGGGTAACTGCTCAGGACCACAATCAGCAATGTTCCTTCATTTGAAGGACAGAGGACACTCATTTGATGAGCAAGATGTACTCATTTTGGACCAAGAAAGGTGGTTTCAGAGAGGGGTCAGGGAGGCCATATGTATACAGAAAATCATTCAATGGGGTGGAGGCCTAACATGTAATCTCTCTACCGTTTATCATGCTGCTCTTTTATCTGTCTCTGATCAGGACGACACACCAGAAAAACCACTGTTAACAACTGTTAACAACCCATGGCAATGGATGGAGAAAGGCTGTAGAAGTGGGATTTTCACTCACAGACACCCAGTCCTTTGTCCATCTAACAATCCTATTCAGATCCTATTCAGACCTAACTTTTAATAACTTTTACCCTAACATCAAGCTCAGCCTAAGGTAAAAGTTATCAACACAGCAGGTGCACTTTCTAGACACCACTGTCAATCTACAAGATGGATATTTTAGCATCCTACTGTATCAAAAAGCAATTCTGCATCACAGCTACTTGCATGTCCCCAGCTTCCACTCCAAACACACCACAATATCTACTGTCTACAGTCAAGCCTTTAGATGTAGTTGAATCTACTTGGATCCACAGGATAGAGGTTCCAAATTCATGGATTTACAATTGGTCTTTCTCAGACTACAATACCCACCCAATACGGTTAAGGAAAAAATTAACAGGGCAAGGTGGATATCCAGAAACAACCTATTACACGACAGACCCAAAAGAGACAATGACCAGACAATACTAGTTGTCACTTTCAGCTCATAACTGAAACTACCCATATACATCATCAACCATTTACAACTTACCGTATTTTTCTGTTTATAAGAGAAACCAATGTATAAATAACTATACATCATCAACCATTTACAACTTACCATATTTTTCTGTTTATAAGAGACCCCCCCTTTTCTAACCCCCAGATTAGAAAATCTGCATGCTCACACCCCTTTGATCACCCTTTCATATAAGAGACCCCCCCTTTTCTAACCCCCAGATTAGAAAATCTGCATGCTCACACCCCTTTGATCATGAAGCCCTTTCATGGCTGCTTTACTCTGTGGCTTCGCAAAAGGCAGGGAAAGTGGCTGCCTTCCGTGTATAAAACAACCCTCAATTTTTTGTCTATTTAAGTAAAAAAGTGTCATTTTATACATGGAAAAATACGGTACTCAGTCTAGACAACAGTATTTCACTCTCCCAAGCCCTTGGTTGTAGGCCTGTACTTGTCTAAAGACAGCATCCAAATCTCAAACAACTCTTGACATATTAAATATGGGAACAAGAGAAAGGAACGAGACTCTGCTACAAATCTACATGCCAACTCTCTTGCCATATTTACTCTGCCAACATAATTATAGGCCCCAACGATGCCATCCACAATATCAGAGGCTTGTTCATCTGCTAACATGATCTATGTCATCCTTTGCCAGCAAGGTCCTTCTGCACTCTGTGTAAGACAAGCAGGACAATCTACGTAACAGAATTAATGTATATAAATCTGAGATCAGAAATAGCAACATGTAAAAACATATCAGGACACTTTACAAACAACTTAAAGATGACTTATAGAAAATAATAATAATTATATAAAACTGGAGGGTTGTGCTTATACAGTCCTTGGACAACCATGTTTTTTTTCTTAATACACCTACACATCTGCACACACACCTACACACCAATGGATAGATATATAGGCAAGTGTCTAAGCAAATGGATAATGTTTTACATATTGGCCTGTTGCTTAGCATAGTAAATCATACTACAATAGGTCCACTGTACCAACGAGGATTTGGTGAGTCAATTCCTTTATAAATTCCATTGATTCAATTCCGCCTATTCTAATTGCAACTTACTATGCTAAAATAAGTCAGTTAGAATAGGCTCATTTGAATCAATGGAATTTGTGATGAAGTTGACTCACTAAATCCCCAGTGATTCAACTGGCCTACTGTAGTGCAATTTACTATGCTCAGGAACAGGATTTTGTCCGTTATGAAAAATAAACTGAGGCAGGCTGGTCTTGTTGCCCTATCGAATGTGGAGTTTTTATCAGAGTGCTAATAGTATACAAAGTTCCTAATTATTCAGGCTGGGTAAAAACTTACAATGCACTTGTCAAAGTTCCTTTTGACAGTCACTAAAACATTTCCAAGTGTTGTACTAAGAAAGGAGGTTGGATCCACATTTTGTGCCGTCCATACATGGTGACTCATTTTCACTAACATATAAAGGGAATTAAAGATGTCAATCTTGTCTCCTAGAGCAATAAGGTTATTCAGTTCTGGCTCGACACAGCGAAATATTTTTGTCATCATCTGCCGGATCATATGATTCCTGTAAAATATAAGTTAAAAATCTGAGTTCTCGGTTGATAATGATTTCAGAAATCAATGTTTATTTTTCATCCAGAAGTAACAGTTACATGGAATAAAGGGAACAGAGGATAATAGGAAAAGAAACACTTATTATGTGCACCTGAAATGGCCATTCATGTCTTCTAGACAGTATTACTGCATAGCAGGCCGTTCCCCCACATAAGCATTTTCCCAGGTGGACTTGGTGGCCAGGGGCGCCTTCCTTCAGCTGCGGAAATTATACCAGCTACGGCCCTACCTGGACGAGCGGAGTCTCATGACAGTTACACATGCACTGGTAACATCTCGTATAGATTACTGCACTGCACTCGACGTGGGGCTGCCTTTGAAGACGGTCCGACGACTGCAACTGGTTCAGAATCAAGCTGCATGGCTGGTGAGTGGTTGGACCACTAGGGAACACATCAGGCCAATTCTGTTCAAATTACATTGGCTACCAGTCACTGCCCGGGCCCAATTCAAAGTGCCTGTTTTGATGTATAAAGCCCTAAACGGCTTGGGCCCTGGATACCTGAAGGACCGTCTCCTTCCATATGAACTAGTTAAGATCTAGCCGGGGGCCCTTTTGAAAGAGCTGTCCCTCAAGGAGGTAAGAGGGATGGCTTGTAGACAAAGGGCCTATTCGGCAGCTGCCCCCAGGCTATGGAACGCCATCCCAACTGAGATTTGTCTAGCGCTGAGTTGATGACATTTTGGCGCCAGGTCAAGACCTTCCTGTTCCAGAAGATTTTTAACTGAAATAATAACAGCTGTGGGTCCTGATGGCAATTTTTAGAGTACTGTATTTTTAATTGTATTTTTTTTTAATCTTTTTATTGCATTTAACTTGTTGTAAGCCACTCAGAGACCTTTGAGTAGTGTGGGCGGCATATAAGTTAAATAAAAACAAACAAACAAACAAACTAGAAGCTAATCGAAAGTCTGTTTTGAACAAAAATGGTAATAGAAGGATTTACGTGGCCCCAAGCTGGCTGGATAGCTCAGTGAATTTGGTATCTGGCTGCAGAACCAGAGGTTGGGAGTTCAAATCTTCACTGTGCCTCCCGGGAGAATAGCCAGCCTGTGTGGCCTCGGACAAGCTGCAGAGTCCCAGAGTGGCCCCAGAAGAAGGGAATAGTAAACTACTCTTCCGTATTCCCTACCTGGAAAACCCTGAAAAGTGTCACCATAAGTCAGAATTGATTTGGTTATTATATTTAAGTGGTCCCAAATAATCAATCATACTCCCAGAGATTGGGGAGGTTCTGGGATGGTGGAGACTCTTTAGAATTCTACATTTTTTTACCATGTGAGTAAGAAATATAACACCTCATAGTTAAAATGACATCAGGCAGATTTACAGCTGTGGCTGCAGAAACCTGGTTTTGTTTGGTTGTCACACAAAGACGGTCTACTATTAAGGTTGATCATTTACTTTTAAAAGATTTGGTAGTTTTGCACACTTAGACACTAGCAATGTTAAGGAAACATACTCTGAAGACATAGACTGTGGACTGCCAACATTGTGCATCCTTGATAATGTTCCTCCATCCATTTCCTCAGTATCACTCTGAAAAAGAAATGAATAGTTTAGAAGGAGGTCACTCCAGAGTTATAAATAATTTTTCAAGTTGATGTTCAAAATTAAGAGACATACCATGGATGTTCCAGGAATGCTAAGATGCTGTTGAAGTTTGAAGAATTTGCTAATAAAGTCTTGTTCTGCCAAACACAGGGGCTCCAGCTGACTTAGCACTTGTTCAAAAATCTACAAGGATCAAAATACATATTTAAGTCATGGAACTACTCTCATTACATTTAATGAGGCTAAGAGCCTTGTGGCACAGTGATTAAACCGCTGTACTGCAGCAAAAACTGTGTTCACAACCCAGGGTTCAATCCCAGGTAGCCAGTTCAAGGTTGACTCCGCCTTCTATCCTTCCGAGGTTGGTAAAATGATTACCCCGCTCGCTCGGGGGGGGGGGGCAATGTGTAGCCTGAATAATTAACTTGTAAACGACCCAAGAAGTGCTTGAAGAACTATCGGATGGTGTATAAGCAGCATGCTTTTGCTTTTTACATTTAACTAAATCTTCTACGTATTGGCCATGATGAAAGGATATTTGCATATGCATATTTTCTGTGACATTCTCACCATAAAATAGTGCAGGCAGGTGGGAAGGTGAGCTGCTTTTAAAGCAAATGTCAGCTTCTGGTTTAGCATTGAAGTTTTCTCAGCCTAAACACATCACAGGAATTTTTAGTCCCACTAGTAAAAATGGCTTCAACACACTCAAATCTCCAAATTTCAACTGAAGTGTTTAAGAATAAGGCATACAACAGTCACATAAGAGTGGGAGATTTTACATGGCTGGCAGTTGTACTGATACTCTGAAGTCTAAGCCCTGGGTCAGGTATACTGAAGTTGAAATATCATTTATGTTATCTGTGATTTGCCATATTGAATTTGTTAAGCATGAGGTAAATGCTGGGGGTTCAATGTTAAAATTGTACTTGATACTATATAGAACGGATGACATTTTTCTATCAAACTACATGTGATCACCTCTTTGTCCTACATACTAGTATCTGCCCTCTAAGAACATTAGAATTATTTGTCAGAAACATTTTTATCAAGTTCAAGAAAAGTTAAGTCTGGGAGAGATCCCTGCAAAAGCTAGAAAACTGTGGGCACTTAAAAATAGTTAATGTATCAATAAAGACCTGTACTTCTAGCCCACTAAGCCTCCTCCTCAACTTACGTTGCCAGGTGGGAGCACCTGAAATATGGCTCCTTTTCATTTTGCAAAGGTAACTGTTCACTGCCATGTAAGAGCTCATATAAAAGAACTTCATGGTGCAGTGGTTAAACTGCTGTACTGCAGCCAAAACTGTGCTCACGACCTGTGGTTCAATCCCAGGTAGCCGGCTCAAGGTTGACTCAGCCTTCTATCCTTCCGAGGTTGGTAAAACGAGTACCCAGCTTGCAATGTGTAGCCTGCATAATTAATTTGTAAATCGCCCAGAGAGTGCTTGAAATGCTACGGGGTGGTATATAAGCAGCATGCTTTGCTTTATATGAAAAGAATGCAAATCAAAGCTTTTCTCTACTCCAGTTTCTGGGAGAAACTACACTGGTAAGTGGAGGAGCTCATCATATATATAAGCAGCACGCTTTGCTTTATATAAAAGGAATGCAAATCAATGCTTTTCTCTACTCCAGTTTCTGGGAGAAGCTACACTGGTAAGTGGAGGAGCTCATCATCTTAACTGTGTCTTACCTTATCAAACTTAGTTCTATCAGCTACATCCAGGTCAGATGCAGACATATTTCCCATATCCAGCAACGAGGATGACTGAGACCTGCGATTTCCTGAGCTCTGGACTGTGAGCTTATTTAAGCTAGAAGTCGAGCCTGTCAGTTTCCCAGAACTTCCATGAAGGCCTGTGATAACAATGAACACTGGGGTAAGAAGCTGTCATAGATGGACAACATATTACTTACTGTTTAGTGCAGTACATATTGTACATTAAGCATCATTCTCCCTCATACACACACACACCTGAAGGTTGTCAGTACTTCCCCGCAGAACAAGCAGACAGTTGACGTGACCACATGTTTCTTCACTTAGGTGAAACCATATGGAAGAAACTGGTTCAGGAATGAACACTGAATGACAGACATTACGGATCAGCAAATACTGGAAATAGTGTAGGGTCAATAACATTTCAGAAAAGAGCACAAATATGTGTAAATAGAAAGGCCAGAAGCAATTTATACAGGGGCATCTCTTAGAAGCAAAACACAAGAATTGACAAGAATTTACTATTTTCTTTAAAAAGAAAATAGTAGCAAATGCCTGCTGGAAAGATAAGGGAAATGCCCCCCCACACACTCCTGAGGCTTAAGTACAATTATGTCAGCTGTATGCTACACTCAGCAAGCAGTCTTTATTGATCAAGGAAGAATTTCTTCAGTTTAAAAGGTATGATTGTCCATTTTTGATGATGTACAGTATTAAACTATTCATATACTCTTTGTGGTTTTCACTCAATTTGAAGACTAGTGAAAAAGCACATATATGACATGTAATTATAGCCACAATTTTACATTCTTCTACCAGAATTTGGAAGGAAAAGATTCTGGTTTGGATTCGTACAATTGTGAGTGAATGTATTTTTTCATCGCTCCTTCTGTTTCAGCCTCTTGCAGTATTAAAAGTCACTCTTGAAGGGTAGGATAAGGATTCTCACAGCGGTTGTGTTTGTATGTAACACCAGATTACAGTTTCCCATTATGAAAACAAGCTTAAACAATTATTTGACTTCCAGTCTCCCTCTGTCTCCTTCAGTGCAGGTATGGGGAGACTGCAAACTTCTGCTCCCGTTTTAGATTAACCACAATTTAGTTTGTCATTCAAAACTAATCTGTGATTAATCTAATTAATCAATTCTCCCTGCCAGCCTGATTACCCCCTGCCAGTCCAATCACCTCCCTGCCCCTTCACTTGCTCACCTTTCCCCTTGATCTTAGCATACGAAACCAGCTTCATAAATTATGTTTTGAAATTAGTCTGTTTCAAATAGCCATACTTCACATTAACTACAACATAGCTGGATCCAGACTGTATGGCAACCCGTAGTCAATCCTGAATAGAAAGGAACATTTCCAACTACTTGTAGCCATAACGGGGGAGAGTGAAGTTCAGTCTTGGAAAGCTAATCTGGGATTCAGTGTTCCATTGAATTGTGTTTGATGATATGCAGGAGGCTGCAAGAGAATCAACAATCTTTTCCGTGAGCAGAAATGCCTTCTATTCACACTACAGCACTGCTGGATCAAGGCTAATTTTTAGAAAAGGAAAATACAAATACGGATCCAAGCAACTACCTGCAGCATAACAGCATTTTAAATGCCTAATCTGTAGCGCCTCCAGCTTCATGAAGGGCTCATCACTGTAGCCTCCAGCCACACAGTGTGATGCCTGCCTGTTGCCACAAATGAAGCACCAGCATGATAATGTTCTATGCACAAACAATGCACAGTGGAGGATACAGATGACATGACACCCATGCAGATGGTGGTGCCATGTGTTACATTTGAATAACTGTTGTGCCATAAAGCTCAGAACTCCAGAAGTTGGCCATCCCAGCTCCAAGTGTTTGAAACAATTCTCTTACTCTCAGGAGGAAGTGTTAGCAGACATTGATGTCACAGAAGTTTAGGAATTCATTGTAATTCTGGTTGTGCACTGAAATCCAATGGATGCAAATGGCGGATATGGGACATCTAAGACTACATATGTACAGAAAGACAAGTGGGTATGCTTGCACCGCCAAGGAATATGTGGTGCAGAAGATTCCTGTGCCAGGATGACCCATCCAGCAGCAATGTCCACCATCCCCATAGTGCAGGTTTGGCCATCTGAAAACATGGGTTAAACTAAAATGTTTTTTTAAAGCTGAAAAACCTCTCTAGTTATCAAAATAATTACTTAAAAATAAATAAGAGTGCTATGAGTTCCCCAGAGGTGCTGGGGGGATTGTTAACATACAACAAAATTGCCCCCTGTGTCTCTTGGAGGGCACAAACGGACTTTCTGAGAAAGAAAAAATGTGTATGTCAGGCTGGGGGATGCCAAGGGTGCCGAGGAGACCTAAAATTGCCCAGGGGTGTTTGTGGGGGGGAGAAGCACGTTGCCCACACGTGGCCAACCCCAACCTTAGCGAGCTTGTGGTTTCTCTGGTCTGCAGTGCAGATCAGCAGGACTGAATTACAAGTGCAGGGTGAATGTTAGAGAGATTGCCTCCAAAAAATATCCCGGACAGACAAGGCCTATCTAAGTTCAGGCGTGAATTTCAAAACCCATTTCTGTTGTACTTGGTTTAGAATTCAATATTTTACTGGCAATCTCCACTGAGATTCAACATTACATTCTGGCACCTTCCCAGAGGAGAATTTAGTTTTGTTGTAGCGTACATAAATTTATGCAAGGACAAGGCATCCAACACTTCTGTGTTAACAGGCTTTGCCATGAGAAGTATTTTTACAGAGACACAAATGCAGTGGCAAGAACCATTAAAGCACTAGTCATACTCACTCTCTGTTTCCTGTTTGACAGCACTTTCTTTTCGAGGCAGTGTAGCTGGGATGGATTAGGTGGCAAGCAACAAAGACAAAGACAAGTTAAAAATGCATTTTGCACAAACCATGCACGAGATGCAAGTTAAGCACTAGCTGGAAAGAAACATGCAGAGAACTATGAGAAGCAAGTAACTACAAGTTGCAAACAAACACAGCTGGGGAAGTATGAGTCTAGAATATTTACCTATGCAGAAAATGTGTTACATTTCAATAGACCATTGAAGAGTTGCCAGTTTTTGTTCAAAGGAGAAAGAACAAACTGATGGCAATGAGCCCTGTCTATACAAAGCGCTCCATGTTATCAACTATGGCAGACAGTGTTCCAGGTATACATAAGGCATGACACAGAAAAACAAATTTTGTTCAATGAATCTGACTGCCCAAAGAGGTACAGCATGCACATTGGAGAAATGTGCACTATGATATCATAGGAGATGTGGAAAGATACATTTTGAAATGTTATTAGATATAGCTGCTTACACTCCAGGAGTTCTCCCCAACATCCTTCTCCACATGAAAAAAGATCAAAAGTGCACCTCTTGGGATATGTACAAGCAGACTGGGAAAACATCCCTGAAGAATAGGTGGGACTGCAACTCCCATCAGCCTCAGGCAGCATAATCAAGAGTAAAGAATGGGGAAGCTGCAGTCTGAAACCATCTAGAGGGCCACACATTCATCATCATCACCCTTGGTGTATGGTATCCAACTCCTCAGCTACTTTTCCCTACTGAAGGCCATAGTACTCTGTAATGTACTGTAATGCCTTTAAGATGTACTGCATACGGTTGGGCTGGTCCCGAAAGAACCCAACTTGTAGGCATACAACTCCACTGTTACAAATGGAGAGAAAAGCCAAAAATGAGAAACTCTCCATTGCAAGGAGAAGACTGTCACATTCTCATAATGAAGGTTGCAAGAAGGCTCTGGAAACATTTATGCTGCACAGCACTGCAGGAGACCTACAGTTTATCTAAATTCTATTTCCCTCTAAATCTGAAAATAAAACTGGAGTATCAAATTATTACTGAAAACCTAAGGCACATTAAGATAGAACATTTCCCCCTAAATATACCCATCTGTGCACTGATAATCTTGGTATTTTCCTGCTGTCCCAATGATACAAGTTTTAAATAGGTATTAACATTGACCAAAAATGACAAAAACCTTGGACTTCTGTTTTGTTTTGTTTTTTAAAACCAGCTCATGTAGATATTGTGTTTTGTTTTTTCACTTTGCATCAGGGGCATTCTGGCAGCAACTGCTTCTCAATTCTGAAACTTTAAATTTAGTTCTAATCTACTAAAACATCAACAAAAACAAATATCCAGTAGAGAAGATACTGGATGTTCTCCAGTAATAGATTTTCTCCAGACTTCAAAATTCTATTTACCATAAAGTTCTAGGTGAAGTCAGACATTCATTAAAACATTACAAACAAGGAAAGCTTTTGAACTCCCCAGAATTTTCATCAAATGTGTTATTAAATTGTGGGTTGAGGAAGAGGCAAATAGTCCAAAAGATGAGGGATTAGATATGATACCCATTGTTCCTGAAGATAGACTGCTAGCAAGTCAAGAAGTAATCTGCAGATCCAGCTCAAGACAGAAGCGTAAATGTGTCATTTTTAAAGTCTCCCTCTCTCCTGATAGATGAAAAACCAGTGCAAAACGCTTGTGGATCTCTCCATTGTTTGGAGCAAAGCACATAAACCCTTTATCGGCTTAGAGCAGAAAAATGTGGAGCAAGATAGAAGTCTTTATGATAATAATTTACATTTTCCTCTACCCAAAAATTTTATACCATCTTTATCTCAGGAAGAGTTCTGGAGAAATCAAATACCTTCCTCTTTGTAAATTTTTAGTTATCCAACAAATAACTCCACTCAGAACTTTTGTTTCTACAGAGGGATCACATCATTACATTTTCCTCATATTTTCTATGAGTTCATAAGAGCTAGCAATCTGTTTAGCACACATTTGTTCACAAGTTCCACACATTTTACACAAATACAAGCCTTGTGGGATGCAAATCCAGTTAGGAAGGGCAAACTGACAGATCATAAACAAAAGATCATAGAATGGTATGTTACTTAATGCTAAGCGAGATGTGGAAATTCTGTTGCAGGACTAACAAAGAGACAGGATACATATATGCAAGATTTGATGTACAACTCTGCAGGAAATACACATATGCTGTGCAGTCGTATGAAAGCTTACAGATAAGTAGATCTCTCTACTGTTCCATGGGACTTACTGCTAAGCAACTGCGGACAAGATTGTAACATTAGGCTCCACTAGTGAAAAATGCAGGAGATGACTGTGTGCCAGAGGAGTAAAACCAGAGGAGTAAAATCAGACAATCCAAGAAACACAAGTCTGCTGGCTCAACAGTGGAGGAGATTACTCACATGATGCAAGGTATCTTTGAAAATGCTAGGGTCTTCAATCTGTGCTGCCACAGTTTGGGGTGGCCCACATTTCTCATTAAATTCTCAGTGAAAGAGTTACAGGTGCTGCAACTACTTCCAAGAGACAATACATCCTGTAACCTCTTTGTCCTGCTGTGTTTTCCCCCTTCTGAAAGGTAAACTAACACCTGCTTTTTCTAGATGGGTTTGTAAATACATGAGTGTGTAGGTAAATAGACCCATTTTTAAATAAATGTACGCAAGAGGAAGTGGTGTAAATGGACTTGTATGGATGGATGGGCAAGAAGCAGAGAGCATGAGATGGCTCTGCCCTTATATATAGTACTACTGATTTTCTCTCCACTTACAACTGAAAATCTACCCTAAAAGAGAATGCAACTGCTCCCTAAAGGATTCCCCATGAAGGATTGAGGCTGTAAGCAGGTAAAACCCTTGGATAAATCCAGCCTATTTCAAGGGTTTGGGATGTATTACTTAATATATTTTCATTCTGGATTCTCAAGACCCACTTACAACTGAAAATCTACCCTAAAAGAGAATGCAACTGCTCCCTAAAGGATTCCCCATGAAGGATTGAGGCTGTAAGCAGGTAAAACCCTTGGATAAATCCAGCCTATTTCAAGGGTATGGAGCGAAAAATACGGTATATTTTCATTCTGGATTCTCAAGAGAAAATAGGATAACTGCTATTTGGCAAGCTTCACAAGAGGAGAGTGTTCTTTGGCTACTATACACTCAAGCCAAAAAGACATTGTAGTAAAAACCAACCCAATAGGATGAATCAAAATATGAGTGATTAGAACAGTACCTCAACTGTACCTTATGTAACTGCCCCCTCCTGTATTGTGCTTTATTATGGAAACTGCCTTATGCACCATTGTTCAGCTCTTATTTTCATAGCAGAATTTTTTCTAGGGTCCAAATATTTGCACCCATAATGACAAGACCCATGCTTCCGCAAAGTCACCGGTATTGGGAGTAACCGTACAGAAGATTCGCAGATCATATCTTGAGAAAATCTGCACAGATGAGCAGATTACCAAGGCTCCACCCAGAGCTCTGAAAAGTTACTTTTAAAAACGAAAACGTCTAGAATCCCTAACCAACATGGCCGCTCTGAAACTTGCTGAAACACTAGCAGCCACAACTCACTTGCAGAAATGGGAAACCTCCTCAACACAGGCTGGCAATATCCACTATTGTGATATAAAACTGAAAGAAACTTACCAAACTTCTTTCCTTCCTTAGTGGCACCGGTCATTTTAATCTTTGCTACTTCAAAGAAATCTTTTATTTCTCTGTCATATAACCGGGATAAATAACTCATGTAGTTCTTAAAGAAAAACAAAAACAAATGCAGAATGACTGGCATAGCTGCTTCTTTAAACAGACAAATAACATAGTTTAAAAAGACATATATTTAAAATTATTCTGACATTATTTAAGCAAAATGTTTCAGCCACCTTCTTCAGTTGCTCTGGTAAAAGTATGCTGTTTCCCAAATGGCAATGATAGTACCTAGAGGACAAGATATTTCAAAGCAGATGAATTATCCTTTAGGTTCAGGCCATGAGGTGTTAAGGTAACCAGTCTAAAAATTTGGAAGTTTTCTTTCTTCTCTAATGTGCTTGGTTGTAGATTTGGACCTGGTGTTATTAACTTTGCAGCTGTACAGATATACTATACAAGATGTGTGTGTGTTTAGTCGTTTAGTCGTGTCCGACTCTTCGTGACCCCATGGACCAGAGCACGCCAGGCCCTCCTGTCTTCTACTGCCTCCCGGAGTTGTGTCAGGTTCATGTTGGTTGCTTCGCAGACACTGTCCAGCCATCTCATCCTCGGTCGTCCCCTTCTCCTCTTGCCATCACACCTTCCTAACATCAAGGTTTTTTCCAAGGACTCTTTTCTTCTCATGAGATGGCCAAAGTACTGGAGCCTCAGCTTCAGAATCTGTCCTTCAAGTGAGCATTCAGGGTTGATTTCCTTTAGAACTGATAGGTTTGTTCTCATTGCAGTCCAGGGGATTCTCAAGAGCCTCCTCCAGCACCACAATTCAAAGGCATCAATTCTTCGGCGGTCTGCTTTCTTTATGGTCCAGCTCTCACTTCCATACATCACAACAGGAAAAACCATAGCTTTGACTATTCGGACTTTTGTTGGCAAGGTGATGTCTCTGCTTTTCAAGATGCTGTCAAGATTTGTCATCGCTTTCCTCCCAAGAAGAAGGCGCCTTTTAATTTCAGGGCTGCTGTCTCCATCTGAAGTAATCATGGAGCCCAGGAAGATAAAATTTGACACTGCCTCCATATCTTCCCCTTCTATTTCCCAGGAGGTGATGGGACCAGTGGCCATGATCTTAGTTTTTTTGATGTTGAGTTTCAGACCGTTTTTTGCACTCTCCTCTTTCACTCTCATTACAAGGTTCTTTAATTCCTATACAAGGAATTAATTGCCTATAATTGCCTATACAAGATACACACATAAATATATAAAAATCTTTATGAGGGAAAGGGACCTGGTGTTATTAACTTTGCAGCTGTATGGATATACTATACAAGATACACACATAAACATATAAAAATCTTTATGAGAGAAAGAAAAAATTAGCTACCATGATATGGAATAGGAACGGCAGAGGGAATCTGAGAAATGCAATAAAATGTTTTTTGTCTTGGTGCCTAAACTTAAAAAACAAACAAAGAAAAAACCCTCAAAGGAAGTCACTTAGAACAAAGAGGGCATGTTAGTGGGGGTATGAGTTGCTTCCCTAATATTCAAGAACTTGCAGTCCATCCACTGGTGAATAATCTCAAATTACTGTCTATGTTAGCACAAGAACATGCTGTTTGGTTTTGCCAAATACTGTAGCATCATATCCCATGTTCTGTTTCCCAGTAAGTTAAGTAATTTACTTTCTGAGCCACTTACCTCTGTTAAACCTTCATATTTGCCGTAATCGGTATTCTTTAACCACTCCATAAGTTTGGCATATCGGAGCAAGTCTCGGTGAAAAGGATGGTGGTTTGGTAATGTCAACTCAATAGAATGCTGTGCCAGAGTGGAACTTTGGTCATGGCCCTGGGCGGGGGGGGGGGGGG